CATCTAGAGGAAAGTTTTTCTGATATAGAAGTTCAGTTCAAAAGGTTTTGTCTGCCTGTGAAAACCAGTTGCCCTCCTGCTGAAAATATTACCGTAATTTCCAGCTGTTTACCCGCATGGCCAATTACCCGCACCGGCTGATTATTGCATATGGCGAAAAAAAGTCAATAGATTATCTGCACTGGTGGATAACCCACACCTTAAAAGCAAAGGAAATTTTTACAAAAATGCTCTAGAATTCACCATGTTGCATACTCGACAGAATGCAAATTCTTGGCCACATTTTGTTCGAACAGTCGTTCAGCGCCATGTTGATTTGTCGATTTTTCAAAAAAATCTTTATCTCCGGTTTTACTGGGCCTAACAAGTTCCTTAGAATGGGAAAATTCTCTTCAGCTTAAGCTAGTGTTAACTGGAAATTTGTTACTGATGCACCGGTTATCCTTGGTTGATTTTTGTCACCATCAAGGTTTTGTTTACGCGCGGGCCAATAGAACTTTGTTCGTCATGTAACTAATCGTGCGTGAAATAAACTCATGTCGGTATCCAGTTTTCGTGCCGCCTTGTGGCACTCTTAATACAATAAAATTCATTTAAGAGGTGGAAATGCAGGTAGGTGAGAATCTTTTTCAATTCAACTGCTAGTAGATTTCAAAATTGTCACATAACCCACACCTCCCTATTATTCGCAGTGGCGCGTGCTTAAGATAAAATTAACAGATTACCTGTGGGTAAACCGCTGGAAATTGGTAATAAAACTCCTGACAATGATCTAGCTAGGTCTCAAACACAGACCTCTTCACCTGGAGTCCACCACACTAACTATTAGGCTTCTATGTCTCTCACAAGTCAGTATTTTGCATATTGCAAATTATTTAAAGCGACCATACTCAGCTGTGTGTATTTTAGACATGAGGCACCTCTCAAGATACACGTATGTGGAAAAATTAAGAAGTGGTGACATGGTGTCATTTCTCTACTAACTTGGGGAGCAGGGTTGGCATAGTGGTGAGAGCGCTCGCCTTCCACCAATGTGTCCCGGGTTTGATTCCCGGACCTGGCGTAATAAGTCGATTGAGTTTGTTGGTTCTCTACTCTGCTCTGAGAGGTTTTTCTCCGGGTACTCTGGTTTTCCCCTCTCCTCAAAACCACCATCATTGGAGTTTATTTAATTAAGAGTTTATTTGCATTTACACATGACCCCACAAGATGTTCAGCTTTAAACATTATCATGTCTAAATAAAGGTGTTATTATTATTATTATTATTATTATTATTATTATAATTATTCTCTCAAGTTTGACCTATCCTGTCTTTATTGTTTTCCAGAGGTTGATCGTGCTCTCTTCCAGAAAAAAGTCAGAAATGGACTTAAAACTCATGAAAGTTACCCAGAGGTAATAAATCATTGAAACTGAAATCTAACCTATGTACATATATTTCTATGGGTTTTATTGTGTTGTTTCATTTTGCTAAGCTTTCTTGATTTTACTCCTTCAGGTCGTAGACAACTTTCTTGAAGGACTGCAGACAAGGTTGGACGATGCGGACAGGTATTAACTGTACTAAAATGTTACTAGATCATCAAGGAGATAAGATGTTATAATTTTATATCAATTATTTCAATTGTTTACAAAATTCTCATATGCTCTCCATCTTTTTAACAGGTTTCTCCTCAGCTTGCTTCCAGTTTCTTTGGCAGAGGACGTTGACGGGTTGGTAGACCTGTAATATAATCCAAAAATAGTTATCTCTTTAATATAAAAACATTAAATAAAAAACAAAACATCATTTCCAGGGCTCAACACTAACGGTAGCCCACTAGCCACAGATTAGTAGAAATTCAGTTTTGGCCAGTGGTTTTTGATTTCCATAAGTCAGTTTAGCTAGCAAACAAACTGAAATTGTTGTAACATCTAAGATGTCACCAGCCACTTGGCTAGTAAGTTGAAAAGTTAGTGTCCAGCCCTGATTTCTTTCTCTCTTTTTTTCAGACATGTAGGGGGCCAAGAAGGCTTGATCAGAATGCTATTGGGTATTGACATACTTCAGGTAATCATTAGGATAGCTAAATCTTGTTATGATCAGCAATAATCTCTGATTTCTCAGTATTTATTCATAAAATGTATGCAAAATAGAATGAAAACGTTAGTGATTAACAATTATTTGACTGTGTTATTATTTTTCATCTCCTTCCTTTTACAGCCAAAGATTGCCAGTATGCTTCTGGAAAAGCTTCCAGAGTTTACAGAAGATGACTGCAAGTACGTAGTGCCATTTTCTCCATATCATAAACAGCCTTTGTGTTTCAAATGTTGTTGTCTCCCTAATTATTGACCCTTAACATCCCTAACATTAGCCTGAACATTCTTCTAAACTGATCTTTATACATTTTTACAAAGGAGAATTGTACTAAAGATGGAGAGCCTTCCAAGTCTGCAATCATTTCTTTCATTTTTATGAGCCTATAATGTTTGGTTTCAAAAGTGATACCATAGTGA